AGACTTGTCCTTCAGTGGAAGTGTCAGGAGCAGGGAGGAGGCCAGAGGTTCAAAATTTGTTAAAGCCCACAGAGAGTAATATGAAGTGTCAAGGTTTGATAGCAAGTACCCTGCCTCCCCAGCAAATTGTGAAAGGTGTGGTTGCTTGTGATGGGTTTGTGGAAGTGATTGATCCTGAGGGCTCTGGCCTCATCACTGGGTCTATTTATAGCTTTATCATTGCATGGTATTATTGGGAGGTCCTGGAAAGTAAGAGCTGGAGACTGATAAGAAGAAGTGGATCACTAGAGTATCTGATGCCTGGATCCTTTCTGTCTCAGAGCCACCACACATTCCCCATTAAAGATGGGGATGTCTGCCTCATTCCATGGGCCCAGTACAATAGAGCTAAATGACCATAGACTGAAAGTTCTGAACCTGAACCCAAATAAATACTTCCAGCAGGATATAATGGTTCATGCCTATAATCCCACCTATTTGGTAGACTGAGGCAAAAGTTTGAGACCCTATCTGTAAAATTAGCACAAAAAGTGTTATGGGCATGACTCATCTGGTAGAGTGCCCACCTAGCACTGTTAAGACCTGAATTCAAACCCCACCACTGCCTAAATAAATAAAACAAACCCTTCTTCCCTTAAGCTGTTTGTCTCAGGTATTTTGTCATAGAAACAAAAAGAAACTAATATACACAGTTCCTGTCAGGTGTCAAGGCTTCTTCAAACAGAGGGGAGAAGACATCAAAAATGACCAAGGTGGACAGGGTAATCAATCCAGTCAGATTCCTTATAGAAGGGGATACTGACGCTCTGAGAGATGAGGGTCATGAGACTAGTGGATAACAGAACCAGGCCTAGAAGCTGACCTCTACTTCCGGTCCACAGTCCCCTGGTGACACAAACTCCCTGTTGCTGGCCGTGTCTGAGTCATGCATTATCCTCTGTTGATGTCTTATGAGGCTTTATGATGCACCAGGCATTGAGGGTTTTGATAGAGTATCTTTCTTTTTTCATTTTTTTATTAATAAGTTTTTTTATTGTGAAAATACTGTACAGAGGGGTTACAATTACATGAGAAAGATAATGAGTACATTTCTCATCAAGCATTGTTGCCTCCTCCTTTGTTTCCCCTTTCCATCCCTGCCCTCTCATCTCCCCCCCACCTCTCCCTCCCCATCAAAATTGTAAAGTTCCTTTTTCGACATAATGACTTGTACATCTCGTTGTTGCAATGGGTCCACCTGTATCCCTAGTTAAACAATTTGTTTTTTTTCCTTTACCTCCCCGAATTATACCAATATCAAATACAGTGAAAACAGGGGTTATACCGTAGAGGAAGGGACACACAAAGCAACAAAGAAATCATCTTATAAACATGTTAGAAACAATTGCAAGAAAGAAAAACCATTTGAGTTCTTATCATGGGTTCATTTTGCCTAACATTACCTTAGAGTATCCTTCTTACAATACTTTCTTTGACTGAAGTGTTTTTCCTTGTGGGCTATATGTTATTGCTTCATCGCATTTTGGGAATGAGTGGAACAACGCACACACATACAAACACATATATAGGCACACATGCACATATAAAAACACACATACACATGAGACACACACATACATTTTACCAAGCACATTCTATCCTTTTAACTGCAATCTGTGTTCTTCCCCTCAGGCTCAATTATTTCACCCCAGTTTTTGACCATGCAGGTTCCAGAAAGGATAGGTGTTAATTTGACAGATGTTTCAAATCTGAAGCTAGACCTATTCTCATTCTTGTTGCTGCCAATGAATATTAAGGCTTAATAGTCACTACACAGAATCTGGCTTAATTCTCTGTCTGTAGATAAGAAAATGAGCTCAGGCAGGGAATCCTGGTGCTTACCTGTAATCCCAGCTACTTAGGAGATAGTGATCAGAAGAATTGGTGTTTAAGGCCAGCCTGAACAAAATGTTAGTGAGATATGATCTCAACCAAGGTGCTGTGTATGGGTGTGAATGCCTGCCATGTCCACATCTGGGAGGCATAGGTAAGAAGATCCAGATCCAAAGCCAGCCCTGGGGTGGAAAAGGGGTAGCGGTGTTATATACAAACAAAAAACCATGAGACCTTATCTAAAAAAATAACCAAAGCAAAAGGACCGAAAGCATTATTCAAGTAATAGGGCCTAACAAGTACAAGGCCCTGAGTTCAAAAGAAAAAAGAAAGGAAAAAAAAGATTAGAGTTTCCTTCTAAGGCAAAAGAAACAAGAAAATTGCAAAAGGAAAGGTAAACTTAGGCTTTTTGTTTGTTTGTTTTTTTGGGTCTGGTCATGGGGTCTGAACTCTGGGCCTGGGCGCTGTCCCTCAGCTCTTCAGCTCAAGGCTAGCGCTCTACCACTTGAGCCACAGTGTCACTTCTGGCTTTTTTCTTTTTGCTTATGTGGTGCTGAGGAATCAAACCCAGGGCCTCTGGCATGCAAGGCATGCGCTCTACCACTGAGCCACCTTCCCAGCCCCAAACTTAGGATTTTTATCTCCTAAAGAACCCACAGCTAGCCAGGGATATATCTACGACTGAAAGTACACCTGGGTTGGTTCCACTATCCCAGGCCAGCTCCACACCACGGTCATCATGAGTGGGATGGGAGTGGGGGTGATGGCATAATACACACTATTGGAACTGCTTTTCCTGGACTCCCCTTGATTAGATTCTGGGTGGGGGCAGCTGCAACAACATTTGTAGGCCTGAGATTAAAGACACGACCTAGGGAGACTACTCTCTTACCTCAAACTGAACCTTTCAAAAATGTAGCAACCTCTCTCAGGCTTCCTGGGACAGGCTTAGAGAAATGCTCCCAGAACTGACTTCTTTCTTCAGATGCTGCTGAAGTGGACAGGGAATACTAACATGGAAGATGCTACAGTGATGTAACTTTCAACTACTTCTTCCTCAAATCAACACATTCTTGGACACAGCCACAGGTCGGGGGCTGCCGCTCAGACTCCCAGGAGCAAGGCTCTAGATTTACTTGGACTACTATAGAAGCAAAACCCTCTTTTGTGAGATTTTTAGATAGCTGTTCCCAGTGCAATTTTTATATTAGCAGTAAGTTTAGTGCCCGAAGGGATCAAAGATTCACATGAAACACTCCCGCCCAGGGCGATTTTAGATCACGTGTTGCAAACCCACCTGGAAGGTGAGTACCTTCTATCAACACTCTGGGCAAGGTTAGCAATAGGGGACTGACACAAGAAGCTGCTGAAAAATGTCACAAGTAGATGTACGGTGTCTTTACACCAGTGTTCTAGACTACAGACTGAGAAGTCTGTCTGATGGCCAGGACAGCTGCTTCAGGACACCACATAGAAACTTGGAAGCCAGGCATTGGCGGCTGACATCTGTAATCCTAGCTATTGAGAAAGCCGAGATCTAACGATTGCAATTTGAAGCCAGGCCAGGCAGGAAAGTCCATCAGACTCTTATTGCTAATTAACCAGCAAAATGCCAGAAGTGGAGGTGTGATGCATGTGGTAGAGCAGCAGCCTTAAGCAAAAAAGCCACGTGAGAGCAGGAGGCCCTAAGTTCAAGCCCCAATATCAGTGCATACGTGTTTGTGCATATGCACATAGATATGCACACATGCACATGCACACGCACACACACACACACACACACACACACAAAGAGACTTGAAGACTCAGGCCTGGGTGACATAAGTCTATTCCCTCCCTCCCCCCCCCCCCCCCCCCCCCCCCCCGCCCCCGGTCATCAACAGTGCAGTTAGAATCCTATGTTCTCCTTTGGGTGACATGTGGGCATAGAGATTCCTGTTTACAGCTAGAAACTGAGTAAAGTGATAGGATTGGTCAGTGCGAAATCAGAAACAGGACCACTGGAATTTGTATTCTCTACATTAGACTTGCCAGCTCCCTCTGGCTGGGTCTCAGGTAGAAGGGACAGGGCAGGTCTGATCTTGACTGTCCAAGTCAAAGGTGAGTCATCTAGTCATCACCAAGCATCAAGCACTCCCATTTGCTAAGCAACATTTAAATATCTGGACAAGGACACCAATGAATTCATAATCATTTATTGTAAATCACTCAAAGATTATACATTATTGATGGCAAAAGACATTTTAAACACCTGCTAGATGGAAAAAACTTCATTATGATCATTTCCGACTGGTATCATTTCTTTTTCTATTGTTTAAATCCTACATCTGTCCTGAAAATATCTATCTTCAGATCATTCTGATAGTAACAATATAAAGCCTTTCTTTGTTCTAATATCTAACACAAAGGGCACACTGTCCTGTTAACTCAACATGCGCTCCACAAGGTGACTTCACACATAAAAATTGTTGCAATTTAGAAGCTGCATAATGATCACATTATATCTTGTTTCAAAGTCGATGATGGCTACGTGCGGATGACACATTTGTAGACAAAAGAATTCTAGATAACTGCCGGTTATTAAGATCTGATGGGCTGGTGTGGAAAATTAATACACCTATTTAGCAGAAGTAGCTTAAGTACATGCATGGATGACGAGCATCAATCAGAATACAAATTAACTGTCTAAATATTTAAATGAGAGCTGAATTTGAGCTTGTTTGATGTCTGGTATTTCTGAGTTACACACCTTTAAGATTACAATAGCAAAAAGAACACAAACATTTAAACAGGCATTGATTTATGGGGTAGGCCGAGCCTTCAATTTTGGATATAAAACCAGCTCCATAGAAAACAAATCTTTTAAAGTACAATGGTGAACCATTAGCAAACTATAAACAGGGCAGAAAAGTACAAGACCAATTTCCTGAATCCTCACTCTTTTCAACTTTTGGGTTCTCTGTGTGTCTCTGTGTTTCTCTGTCTCTGTCTCTGTCTGTCTCTGTCTCTCTGTCTCTGTTTCTGTCTCTCTGTCTCTGTCTCTGTCTCTGTCTCTGTCTGTCTGTCTGTCTCTCTCTCTCTCTCTCTCTGGGGAACTGAGATTTGAACTCAAAGCCTGGGATACTATCCCTTAGCTTTTTTGCTCAAGGCCAGTGCTCTACCATTTACTTGGGCCACAGATACACTTCGGGCTCTTTGCTAGTTAATTGGAGAAAAGAGTCTTTTGGACTATACTGCCCAGGCTGGGTTTGAATTCTGATCTTCAAATCTGAGCCTCCTGAGTAAATAGGATTACAGGCGTGAACTATCAGTACCTGCATAGATTCTCTCAAACAAAAACCCCATCCACACAGTAGTTGTAAAACAAGAACATTCCCAAGTTACTCCAAAAGCCCTCTTTTGTCTTCTACTCTCCCTCTCTGCTCCTCAGTGTGTTTAAAAGCAATGTTGGATTAATGCACAGAAAATAAAAGCAATGCTCTTGTGGATCATCCTGTCTGGGTTAACATCACATGTAAGCACAGAATAATGTGAATTTGACAAAGATTACTATAGAGATTAAGTCACACTGATGTTAAATCATAGTACTAATATTAACCTAGTTGTAGCTGACACTATTTGAGACAAATCAAGAATTCCCAAACCACATGGATTCCATCCCCTCTACCACCCAACTCGCCAGAGATCTACAGTAACAAAGACATGGGTGAGCATCAAGGTCAGTCAGACTTGTTGAACAGCTGGTCCCACTTCAGGCACTGCCATCTCCAGTCTTGGCTTTCCGGGCCTCAATCATTGACTTGGTGGCCCGTTTGCGGTCAGTGGCCAGCCCCAGCAAGCACATGAAGTCAATGAACCAGGTGGTTGGGTTGAAATTTAAGCCAAATTCACTAGCAGAGTAGTCAAAGGGAAAGGTGTGATGGTAGTTGTGAAATCCTTCCCCTGGAATACAAAGCAGCCATTCAGACAACATGATCACCCACCACCTCCTGCACAGGATTTTGTCATGTGACTTAAAAATTATCTATCAATTATCTATCTATCTATCTATCTATCTATCTATCTATCTATCTATCTATCTATCTATCTATCTATCTATCTATTTGCTAGTCTTGTGGTTTGAACTCAAGGCCTGATTGTTTGCTATCTCTGAGCTTTTTTTTTTTTTCCCACAGTAGCACTCTGCCACTGGAGTTACAGCTCCACTTCTGGCTTTTTTTTTTAGTTAGTTTATTGGAGATATGAGTCTCACAGATTTTCTGCCCAGGCTGGCTTTGAACTGTGATCCTCAGATCTCAGCCTCCTGAGTAGTTAGGTGTGAGCCACCCAGCATGTCATGTGTTTTTTTGAGTGTTTAACATATACAAGACTTTGTGTTGGGTTCTGTGGGGATAAAATCTTGGTTGCAGTTTTCAAAAACATTTATTCATTTGGTGAGACAACATAAGCATGAACAGGAAATAATACAGGAACCAGCATACGTTACAAGAATAACTTTCTTGGGTGAATTGTAAACATGACACATAACTCCAGCCCTGAACTTTCTAAGCAAAATGCCTCTTGAAATGTCAAATGGAACTCATTGAAATCTGTTGAATAGTAAGGAGTAGCTGAGATGTGGAAAGTGAGTATAGCTGATTAAAGTACTGTATGTGTGAGATGTCAGAGTGAAAACTTTCTGAACAGTTAACATAAACTTAAAAGAATGAATGACAGGAAAGTCATATAGGTTCTGTCCAGGGTAGGTGTACTAGTGGGAGGATGAATGGAGAGGGGAAGGGTGGGTGAATAGGATCAAAATAATTTATGTACACGTGTGCTTTGTGAAAATAGAACAATGAGGCTGTTGAGATTGGTTTAGCAAGTGGGAGGGGGAGGAAGAAATGTAATGGAGAGGGAGCGTTGATCCAAGTGCATTGTATGCATACATGGACATGTCAACGTGAAACCCCTTCAGAAACCAAATGATGCTAATAAAAATGTAGGGGAAAAAAGAAGATTATCACACTCTTATGCAAGAGCCAGGCAGGATCCTAGGTTAAAGCTCAAGTTCACTCTTCTCTCCTTCCTCCCTTTACAAATCCCAGAAAGTCCCTAAAATCCAGGCTGCCATTCTCCCCATTGGCTGACACCCTCCTACTCACCAATGGCGCCCAGGGCCACCAGTGGGTTCTGCCGAGGGCTGATATGCCTGTCATAGGGCCGGTTCCCGTACATGTGGGCTGCACTGTTGACGAGCCATGTGCCATTGAGGGCGATGGTGTAGCGGAGAATGGAAGCCAAGAAGTAGGAATTCCACAGACTCTCTCCCCAGATATACCAGGGCACGAGGGCAGGGACCACAAAGCACATGAGCACCACGCTGGTCTTATAGTACCTGTGAGGTCGGACATCACATAACCATTAGGCACCTGCTTGTGGAGATGGAGACAGCTGGACTAGAAACACCCAAGGAAGGAACTGTGCCGTGAGCTCCTCCATCTCCTCCTGTATAAGAAGGATCTTTGCCTGAGACTGTGGACCTACAAAGGTTAGGCAGGTAATTCATATTTGCTGTAGGAAGTGGTCAGCCTTATAGCATTCTTCAGAAGCATTTCAATATAAAATAATCAAATATATGCTAGCCAAACACAGAAGACACTTGTATCCTCTGAGACACAGTTTGAGATAGCTCAAAATTTTTCTTCTCATTAGTCAATCTAAGACTTATGTTTTCTTAAATCATTTCAAGAAATAATCATACCAGTTGTCAGTGGCTCACACCTGTAATCCTAGCTGAGATCTGAAGATTGTAATTTGAAGCCAGCTCAGGCAGGAAAGTCCATGAGGCTCTTAGAACCAATTAACTAGAAAAAAAAAAAAAAAAAAAACCAGAAGCTGAGTTATGGCTGGAACAAAAAAATGGTAAGTGAGCGTGCAAGGTCCTGAGTTCAACCCCAGTACCATCATGGAAAGAAATGTGAGTGGGAAAAATAGAAGGAAAAAAGAAAGAAAAAGAGGAAAGAAGGAAGCAAGGAAGGAAGGAAGGAAGGAGGAAAAAGAAAGGAAGGGGAAAAAGAAGGAAAGGAAAGAGGGAGGAAAGTAAGAAGGGAAGGAGGGAGGGATGGAGGAAGGGAAGGAAGGAAGGAGATTCAGAATTTCTTGCATCATACCAAGTGTATGTTTCTTTACTTAGTTTACTAAGAAGTAAGTGACCCTAATTTCAATTTTTTTTTTGCCCACCAGAGGTAATACTCCAAACCATCATAAAAAATAAATAACCAGGGCTGGGAAGGTGGCTCAGTGGTAGAGCACTTGCCTTGCATGCTCGAGGCCCTGGGTTCGATTCCTCAGCTCCACATAAGAAAAAAGCCGGAAGTGGCACTGTGGCTCAAGTGGTAGAGCGCTAGCCTTGAGCTGAAGAGCTGAAGGACAGCGCCCAGGCCCAGAGTTCAGGCCCCACGACCGGACCCAAAAATAAATAAATAAATAAATAACCAAATGAACAAAAACATAACCACATAAAAAAGGTAATCATTAAAAAGCAAACCAGTCCTGGGGCTGTAGCTCATGCCTATAATCCTAGATATTTAGAAAGCAAGATCTGGAAGATTGAGGTTCAAAGTCAGCCAGGCAGAAAAGTCTATAAAACTCATCTCCAAAATAATCAAAGAATCAGCAAAAAGCCATGCTGGTAGAATAGCTAAACAAGCAAATTAAGTAAGCACAAAACCTTGAGTTCAAGCCCCAGTACTAGCAAAAATAAATAAATAAAGCAAACCTCTGCTAGCATGGGCATCTAGCAGACATTTACTGAGACCCAGTATGTGGCAGTGACTAATGTGCTCACAAACACTCTGAGGAAGGGATTGTTATTTTGCCCATCTTAAAGGTGGGACAATGGTGAAAGAAAAAAGCTATGCTGTTGGCCTGGAGTCAAATGATCAATAAATGATAGGACCTCATATTTGAAGCTGGGTGCCCATGGTTCACGCCTGTCATCCTAGCTACTCAGAAGGCTGAGATCTGAGGATTGTGGTTTGAAGCCAGCCAGGGCAGAAAAGTCCCCATGAGATTCTTATCTCCAATTAACTACTCAAAAACCACAAGTGGATCTGTGGCTCAAAGTAGTAGAGAACTAGCTTTGAGTAAAAGAGCTCAGGGACAGTGCCCAGGCCCTAAATTTAAGCCTCGACTGTGAGCAACATCATTTCATCATGTTATTCTGCCTTTCAAATGAAATCACGTAGGAGTGCTTGTATATTGCTAGTTGTCGGTGAGTTTCCTGATCATTATTTTTCTTGGGCAATACATTAGTCCATCTATTTTCCAGTATTACAGTAAAAGACGGCTGCATTTCAATAGAAAGTGGATGACTAGGGGCTGGGAAGGTGGCTTAGTGGTAGAGCGCTTGTCTCGCATGCATGAAGCCCTGGGTTCGATTCCTCAGCACCACATAAACAGAAAAGGCTGGAAGTGGCTCTGTGGCTCAAGTGGTAGAGTGCTAGCCTTGAGCAAAATAAAGCTCAGGGACAGTGCCCAGGCCCAGAGTTCAAACCCCAGGACTGGCGGAAAAAAAAAAAAAAAGAGGAGTGGGGTGTGATGGTGGGGTGGGGGAGGGGTGTCCAAAGACAACTCCGGGACTTGATGGGCTCTGTAGAACCTCATGCAGAAGGCCTGTTTTGGAGGGCTCTGGAGATACAGTGGTAAGGAATGGGGGGGGGGCGGGGAAGCAGCCCTGAGCAGAGGGAGGAGCTCACCAACTATGAGTTTCAATGAATTCAATGGGGGTGCTCTGACAAGGCCACCTTAAGAATTGCCCCCAAATGGAAGATGTGTCCACACATCCAGCCATTGGTCCCAGGGCACCTCTGGCAAGGTGAACCCATGGGTGAGGCAGCACCCTGTAGACAAAGGCACTTTCCAGAAGGAATAACCTTTGGAGGTGGGAATATAAGCTAGGCGGGCATCTGGGTAGAGTGCACAGCCACTGCACTGGCCACAAACCTGAGGTCTGGGCTGAGTGCATGAAGAGGCAGAGGGTGGGCGTGGTGCATGTCAGCACTCCCCAGGATAGTGAGGCAGTGGGATTGCAAGTCTGAGGTCAAGCTGGAATACATAAAGTGAGCTCCAGTCTCAAGGCTGGGCAGCAAGAAAGCAGCTGACAGTGCTAAGAGAAGGCACCTTGCCACTCAGAGTTCCTTCTCTTTACAACCCAAGCCTCTCAAAGGAGCCTCTTGTAGTCCTCACTCCACTTCTGTAAAGAAATCCAAGGCTTTTTCTGTGATTACTGGGGTACAAAGAGTGCCATGGACCTCTTGCCTAATCGTCCTGGCATGCTCCATCAATCAAGACCTTGTGGTGTAGAGAGTTGCCCTGGCTCCCTGCCTGGCCATCTGTGTTTGGCTATCACCTATAGAACTCAGTTGCTGATGACACCCTCCGCTGTCTTCTCCTTCTGGCCTGTCTAATGGGCCACCTGTCAGTCTTGGTGGCTCCATTGGCCGGACAGTCTGTGTAAGCAGTGTAGGCTTCCCAGGTGAGAGAGAAAGTCCTGGACATCACCAACTAGCACAAACATGCCCAGCCAAATTCTCTCTTCCTCGAAAAGACATATTCCTTAAAAAATAATAATAAAATAATAATGTAAAAGGCCAGGTGCTGGTCTCTCACACATATAGTCGCAAGAGACTAAGGCCTAAGGATTTAGGGCAGGAAAATCTATGAGACTCATCTCCTTTTAACTGCCAAAAAGCTGGAAATACAGCTGTGGCTTAAGTGATAGAATGCTAACCTTGAGTGGAAAAAAAAGCTCATGGACAGCACCTAGGCCCTGAGTTCATGCTCCAGCAAGGCTTGAACTCAAGACCATCACAATATAAATAAATACATTGATTAATTAATTTTGTAAGTTCTCCTTCCAGCAAAGATGTGGCAGGTTAAAGCTAGGGGTGCTCACAGATTGTCCTTCTTGATTTTCTACTAGGTGACCTCCCTGTGTGTTCTGTAACTGGATGGATAGATGGATGGATGGATGGATGGATGGATGGATGGATGGATGGATGGATGGATGGATGGATGGATGGAAGGATGGATGGATGGATGGATGGATGGATGGATGGAAGGATGGATGGATGGAAGGATGGATGGATGGATGGATGGATGGGGAATGGTAAAAAGCACAGTGAATCTGGGCTAGATTTCCAGTGCAGTAGCAATGGCAGTCTTAGCTCATGTTCCTACCCCCAGCCAAAAACTTGAAAAACTCTCCCTGATCATTTTAAACAGATTCAGCAAGTCTTTTCCCATGTGGCCAAGTAGCCCTTCCTCCCAGACACTGTTAACCTTGAACAGCTGTTCTCCATTTATTCACGGCCACTGGGCCGCTGTGCTTTGGAACAAGTGCTATGCTGAGATAGCTTCCTAAAATTCTTGCTTAATATCACTCAAATCTGAATGGCCTTGCCAGTGATCCACAGAAAAACTCCACGAAGTCCTCCAGCCCCAAATCCTTAGGAGATTGGCTGGCAAGTGGCCATTAAAGTTGCTGGGGCTTTTTGCTAATGGCTCAAACATTTAACTACCCAAGTCAGCTACCTCCTAGCTATGTGACCTTCAGAGGAGTATTTGATGGTGCTGAGTCTCAGATTTCTCTTGCAGAAAATGCTGTAGTAACAAATTTCTTAAGTGCCTACCATGTGCCAGACTATCCTAACATTGGGCTACAAAGCGAACTAAAGCAGACAAAAATCCCTGTGCTCATAGAACAAGGGAATTCTGGTAGAGATCTATATGTCATCTATTCTGATAGGAAAGTCGGATGATGAGCAACAGAAACAAATCTAACCTTAGGCATGTTAGTGGTAAATACTAAGGAAAAAAATAAGGAAGAGAAGGAGACTGAGATACAGCCAGTACAGCTACTGTGATTTGAAACAGGGTGTCTGGGGAAAACCTGGCTGACACTGACTTTTCAATAAAGACTTAAGAGAAGGGCAACTTAGCCATGTGGCTGAGTAAGGCAGAGGAATGCCACACACACACACACACACACACACAAACACACACACACACACACACACACACACACACAGAGGCCCTGGAGACATATGGGGGACAGCAGGAGAATTGGGAAAAGAGTGATAGGAGAGGAGATGACAGAAATAACCAGGGAACCAAGTGTGGAGATTGTCATTGCAAGCTGCCACAATAATCTAGGCAAGAGGAGAGTGGCTTGGAGCAGGAGGTTGATGGGAACAGTGGTGAGAATAATCAAATTCTGAATCTATTTCAAAAAGCAAGGACAGTACTTCTTCATAGCCTTGATGTTGCCAAGAAGGGAGGGAGGGGGGGTGGAGAGGATGGGAGGTGAGATGGGGCAGGATGGGTGAGAAGCTC